GTTTTTCGTGAGACCTGTGAGACCAATTTATGTTCATTGATCAACTTTATAAACTAATGATCTAATGGTTTAAAGTTGCACGGTGACAATTTTGTAATTATTGAGAACTCTCGTGGCAAATTTTGTGATTAAGGATGTTGAGATTGTAGATCTAATCCAAAGGTTGAAAATTGGTCTTACGGGTCTCACGAAAAAGCATTGGTCTCATATGATCCCAAGTCTATATATATATATATATATATATATATATATATATGCAAGTATGTATGTGTGTGTAGGGGTGCTCAAAAACCTGATCAATTCGACTAACCCGATCAACCCAACCCAACCCAACCCAACGCGAAATAATCCAACCTGAAGCAATCCGATGTCTAATCGAGTTGTAAAATTGTCAAACCGTAGGTATTGGGTTGATATTGGGTTATTATTATATGAACACAACCCAACCCGATGAACCCGATATCCTTTTATTTTTTGGATTTAATATCATTGTTGAATTTCTATTAATATATACATTAGACAATTACACTATCATGTATGCTTTTCATATACACATATTTTCAATCTATTCATATCTCTATATAACTCATTCAATAACTATGAACATATATATGTAAATTGAGAAAATTAACTGAATGTGATATACGTAAGAATATGAATAAGTTGTATCAAATGGTTGATGACGAAAAATAAATTATGAGTAGAGAAATAACATATTCAAGGTTAGAAGAATATTTTAATATACCAAAGTATCAACCCGACCAACCCATACGGGTTGGGTTGGGTTGGGTTGCACTTTGATTTGGGTTGGATTGGGTTAAGATTTTCCCAAACCGCAAACATCGGATTGGGTTGTTCAAATGTCCTCAACCCGATCAACCCAACCCATGAGCACTCCTATGTGTGTGTGTGTGAGGGAGGGGGCATGTTTAAAAAGAAAGTTAAACCTTTTGTTTGAAAGCGAGAAGTCTCAATATCATATAGACTACAAGCTTGATCATATATGATTAAACACGTGTTGTATTGACAACACATAGACGCTTAATCATATATGATTAAACTTGTGTATCATGCGTGTAGTCATATATGATATTGTGACTTCTCGTCTTCTCGCGAAATGTTTAACTTCTCGCATGATTTTCTCTCTCTCTCTCTCTCTCTCTCTCTCTCTATATATATATATATATATCGCTATTTTATGATAAAATTAGATTAATACGAGAACAATAACCAATAAGAAAACGATCGAATGACACGTGATTTACATTAAAATTACGTGTAAGATCGCATGTAGTTCACGCGACTATGACCGCGACATGTGGTCGTGGGCCACGTCGCTTTCACACCGTTACGTTAACCGTCAGTATAAAAATCACATGTGATTTGGATATTTTTGTGTTTTCTTATTTAATTATTGTTTTCGTTTGACATTTTATAATTTGTGATAAGTGTGTGTGTGTGTGTGTGTATGTGAAAGATCGTGTGAGAAGGGAGATTCTGATAAAAAGCATAGGAAGGGATCTGAACCGTTGATCACTTTTAATCTCATGCCACCAATGAATTGCGCTTTAGAAGGGTATCTATCCAGTTTATCGCGGTGCACCTCATTAGTGTTGACATTCAATTATGATTGATCAAAAGGATGAAGATCTCTTCTTATACTTCTCAATATAACTCCCTTTATCACCGGAACCCAACGATGTATGTGTGTATATATATATATATATATATATATATATATGTGTGTGTGTGTGTGTATAAGTATAATAACTTGTGTTTGGGGTTTTCATAAATGACGAAATGTGCATGAAGTGAAAGACAATCTTTATGTAAATTTAAACTCTACTTATAAATAAGAATAACACTCCAATATATGTTTTAAAATATTATTTTGCAAAATTGGTCCTTGTGGTTTTTTCAAAATTTATATATCGTCCCTATTTTAATATATGTACGTTCAGTCATTTCGTAGTTTACTTTACATTATGAGGTCTCTTGCTTTAACATCGTCTATCTCCCACCCGTTAACTCAAGGGTAATTTTGTCATTTTAAAATTTTGTAAATATTAAAAATTTGAGTAAATTATATTTTATAGTATTTTATCGAGGTACTAAATAATACATATACAAAGCACTACACCACACCACACCACACCACCGGGACAAAATGCATATGTAGAGAACCCGTTTCCAGTTTCCTTACCTCGTTGGAACATGCGCACCTCCCCCCAGTCCACCTGCACAACCCGTAGCTTTCATTTTTCAATCTTTCACCATTTCCATAAAAAGAAAAGTCATGGTGGTTTCAAATCTGGAGGTTGAGAGGGTGTTGTGGACAGAACGACGACAGTGGTGCAAAGAAGAAGGATGGATGGTTGGTGTAGTTATCAACCAACGAAAAGGCAGATGACCGGAATTTGTCAGTATGGGGATGAAAGGGGTCAAAGCAGGTTGCAGGTCAAAAGGAGGGATCCCTGAGGCACATGTGACAAGACTGGATTACTGTATGACGAAAGAAAATCTAATTAGTAAGTGAATTGACCATTTTACCCCTTAGTTAACAAATTGAATTTAACAGTGTTGGAGATAGAGACCCGGGTCGAAACGAAATGCAAACAGTGGAAACTTTAACTATACTTTTAAAACAGGAACAATATCTGCACTTTAAGTAAACTATAGGAATGAATGACATAATTTACGCTTTATTTTTTATTTATATTATTCTAAAAAATGCAATAAATTAATTAAATACAAAATAGAATGAAGTTTGTGCCAATAATTGAATTTATTATTAAATAAATAATAAAACCAAATATTATATGCTTGTACGAGACATAAAGACAATGATGAATTAATGGTAATATTGTGGGACAAGACACGGTCTCTAGAATCATCACTTTCATTATTAATCACTATAAATGAGACCTAACTCGTGAAACTTGTGAAACGTGTGAATCAACTACCATTCACATGTGAATATTTTTTTCATTACCCTCGATATCCAACCTTATATGCGAGCCGACTGATCCTAGGATGACCACCTGCTTTGCAAATAGTCAGGAGTCATCATATTTGAATTTCCGTAGCTACAAAGAGGTTTTTATTTCTCATTGGACTTGAACCTGGGACCTCATGATACTTTTAACCTTTGAAGTCAAGCTCAAACCAATTAGACACTACCCTTGTGGTTACATGTAAATATTTAAATCAGGCACCACCCTTGTGGTTACATGTGAATATTTTTATTCTATTTTAATTGTATATAGTTGTATCTTAATCTTAACATATGAATACGATATATAGTTGTATCTAAAATATTAACATATGAATATAATATGTTTAAATATTGATATTTAGGGGATTAAATATTTGAAAATCTCATATGTTATGATAACCGTGAAAACTATTATTATAAGATATTGTTTCATTTGCTTTTTTTTTATCTGATGCTGAAATTTAATATACTGATTAATAAACATTTTGTTCACAAT